AATAAATAAAAAGCTCAATGGAATATATACGTGATATTTAAAAAGATTTTTTTTTGTCAAATTCTTAATGATCCTATTCAATTACCATCGCTTTGAAATTAAACAACGTAAAGTGAATAATATTGTTTCACGGTATGTAAACATTTCGATCATTGTAACACACGAAGCTTAATTCTGGCTTTCCATATAAGACGGATCTATTTGATTGAACAATGGCTGTTGATAACTCTTCGGCTTTCGTATTTATTTTACATTTACTAAGTTTTTATATTATTATAAAAACGTTTACATAATTTTGAAATTATTAGTATTATACATGGTAATTTGGAGAGACACACACATACGCACAATTTATCAAACATAAATAAAAATCTTGAAAAAATAATAATATAGCGAGATGATAAGAGATAAAGTAATTCAATATATATAATTTAATATATTGGCATTTGTAAAAAAAATCTATCTATGTGATTGAGCGAATAATATGATAATTACATGATAAAAGTGATAATGTTTTCTTATTTAAGAAGTAATTTGTGCGCAAAAATGATCGTGATTTAAAGTATAATCAAATCGTCCATCGTATGTCGATATACTCATCAATTTACATTATTGCGCGCGTGCGTGCGCACATAACTAAATACACTAAATATACGTCTTTGATTACACGAATTATTTATAGATAGCTAGTGTTACTCCATTGGAAATCATTATAATACACTTTTGCAATAATAGGTTTGACGTACAGATGCGAATACGGGATTGCCTTGTACAAGCATACACGTGGGCACAGCAGTGGCATTTATGATTAGTTCCGAAGAAGGGAGAGATTTGCATGCTATAATGTGTCGCATTAGAAACATGCTATGTGCTTGTTGTTTTCAACTTGTTTATAAATTCTTTGTTTCGTCGTATATTTGTCGATAATATATCAATCTTTTAATTTTATCTTATTTATAATTAATAATAATAAGTATTAATTTTGTTAGTATTAGTATTGCATATCTATTTTGTTATAATGAAAATTTTTAAGACACTAAAATAATTTTGCACAATAATTATTTAATTATTTAATTAGGAATGTAATAAAATCAATATTACTTCCTTTATTTGCGAGTCTATTGAAACTCTAATAGGAGTTTTGCTCAAATGTAATGGCCAATTGTTGAGAATAAACGTAGCCTGTTAGGAAATAATTCTATGCAATAATACTGTTCAAACAACTGATACCAATAGAATCTTGGTTACCGCTTTAGCGCATGTGGAGTGACAAGTAGCACATATATCATAAACAATTAATTAATTTCGCGAATGAATATTGGATATATTACATTTATGGTCACACTCCCAGGAGAGTACAATCAATTTGTTTAACTGTGCGTTATATATCTAGAAAATGTATGTGCTACATATTTATGAGCTTAATTAACTAGTAATTAACTATTGAATTATTTTTACCTGTAAAATTGAACTGTTACGAAGAATGCTTAGAAAAAATTCTTGAAAGAAATACATTTTATTCATTATATCATTGATTTTTTAAATATGTACATATAGTAATTAATATAATCTCCAAATATCCTCAATATAATAATAAAAATATAGTCTTTTCATTCATTTTATTACATTTTGGCATTCTTATATCTTCAATCAGAATTCAACTCTGGGAACGTATTATGGAACTGCTCGGATTCTGATCGGAATTGTTCAGTTATTCCCTAGATTTCTATTGTTTTTTCTGAAGAAGTCAAAATAATTTCACTTGGTATCCATTCCGAGCAAATCGATAATATGGGTACCTAGAATTGAATTCTGATTGAAGATATAAAACCGCAACGATGTCAAACAAATCCAAATATTCCATAATACGTGCTCTCTGTTAGAAAATTAAATTAATGTTATCATGATAAAATCGATATTAAATCGATTGAAGAATTTTTTGTTATCTTCAAAAGAGTTTATTCAATTTTTTTCCTCATTGTTATACAATCGCTCATTTAAATACAAAATCTTTAAATCTCTAAATCTCTACAGCGTGAGCGTGATCGCATTTTTATGACGACCAGCGGTGAGATCCGCTAAGAACCAGAGACAACGAGTTAATACTAATTTGAAGGCGCAGACATTTTCACACGCCAGATAAAAGTGAAAAAAAGTTATTCAAAGCGTGATAATATTGCGTATTATCACGAATTTCGTTATCAGGTTATGGAAGACAGTTATGCCTGTCAATTGAAGAAACGATCTGTTATCATTGTTGCGATGCTTGATGAGAGACACGACACGCAGTCTAGCAGAGAATCTGAATAATGCAAACTTTCGCATATGCAGCATTGTCGCGGTATACAATGTGCTTCGCAGTTACGTTCGTATCTTTTTAACTATTAGATACATACAATACGCGATTTTTCTTCTGATGTTTTCATCCAAAGAAATAGTCGCATTTTCATCATTATACCATTTGCATCATTTAGTGGCGTTATGTTTGCGCATATCGGAAAATGAGGAAAAAAATCTGTAACTATAAATATAGAGCATTTTTGTATTATTTGATAAAACATTTAATAATATGTTATATAAGATATTTTTATTAAAGAGAATTTTAAATCGTGAAAAGTAATTCACTTTCACAGTTAAATCGAAACTTAATCTCGTCTTAAAATTTTAATTTTTAATATGTTCCCAATAAGCCTCTTAATAAAAGTTTTGTTAGGCCAGATCAACCAAAAACCAGATTTAACTACGTAATCAGCACTTAACTTAGGAAAATTTTTTAATATGTTAAAAACACATTGAAAATTAGACTAACTAATAAAATTTCCATTAAAAGGAAATTAATTAATTCTTAAATATTTATCTACCATGACTTACGCAACGTACACGAAGCGAGTTTTCATTCTTTACAGCTCCCCTTGCGTTAAACCGCTCTCAATTAGCGTCTGTTTAGGTACCGTGAGCCTTTTTAGAGTCAATCAGTACGCACTAAAGACTCGTAAATAGTCCTGTCACCAACGTCTCATCATTTTCCTCGTTATCTCTCGATTCGTCCTTGTTGTCTAGTAAATTAGACAGTACAGGACCAGCGTACGTTAAATCAAACGTACATGAGTTCAATTTAACGTATATCTCGTACAAGCACGTGACGAGATGATAATGCCCGACTGTCAGCCCCATTATAATGACACGTAAGTCGATCAGTTAAAACCGGTGGAATCTTTCGATAACTGGTAAACGTGATTTATAATATACGAACAACTCTATATCACGCATCATTTATTTAGGAATATTCTCGTTTTGAATAATCTATGAATCAATGAATATATCCTTCCTCTCTCTTTCTACATAATAATAAATAAAAAATATCGCGATACAAATTATTTATTCTGTTTTTACATATAATTGTCTTGAATATATAAATTCACATGCTTAATAGCAAATAGTTGTTACACACCTGTTAGTTTACTTACATATTTAAGTTAATACGCTAAAAAATTTTCAAAAAGATAAAGAAAATGTCTAATTTATTTATTATTTTATATTTTTATTATTAAACTAATTTATTATTAATTTATTATTGCACTCTAATTATCACACCTGTTTTATTATACATCCTTACGTGTTTAAAGTAATGCAAATTTTGTAATGCTAATAGATTAAATTGATTGCGACAATTTCATATCTATTCTATTATATGATAGACCCTCTCAATTGAATTCTCAAAGATACACTTTAAATGCTGCATGGAATCTAGCCTGAACTCAATTTGAATAAGTACACTCTGATCTAATATTGTGTCGTTATTTTTCTCATATTTTTTTATATTTAATTGTACAATTTTTACTGTATTAATCAATAGGTCTAAAAGTAGAACAGCAACATACATTTTAATGTTGTTTAGTGGCTAACTAATTATTTTCATGAAGCTAGTTTAAAATAATAAAAACTGTTGCGATATTTCGAATACTGTTACTTTGGTAACTATTATGATTAAACCGTTAATAAATTAATAGTTTATAAGAATTATCTGATAATATACTTACCTAGATAGCACAGGTGATCATTAGAAATTTAGGGGTTTATCTTACTAAATTCTTCATGAATTAATGTAATGGATTCGAAATAAATTGTTCGTAAATATGATTTTACTCACGAGAAATAAAACTCCATCTAATGGCGTACTACTTGTGGCTGTAGCATTTTTTTAACCCATTATAAACAGATTAAGCTAATTCATAAAGAATTTAAAAAGATGAGTCATTTGTATTATTGTTAAAAAAGCTATATTTATCGATATATTGTTCAGTAAGTATAGAAATAGGTCAACACTGATCGATTCATGACTTACTGTTGCAAAAAATTTAAAATAAAATTAAAATTTTTTAAATTATAAGCTCAATATCGAATTTGTTAAACATATTTATTTCATATACGCGATTTAATTAGCGACATTCTATAGTATTCAAAATACTTTTTGCAAACAGTCTTTAATATATTTACTTTTTATTTAATATAGATATGTGCGGACTTACCTCCTGATTTACTAGCAGTATTGAATGCACCCTAATTGTAACTTCCTTTCCTCCGAGTCGATCACGTTCTATCAAACAGCTGACATAACTATAGGAAAGAAAAAAAGAAAGACATCACACTTCGTACTCGATAAATAAAATCGACAACTGGATTTCAATCAATGACGGAAGTTTCAATGTTCTCTTATTAAAATATTTTATCACGATTTTCTTGTGCGCGACATTTCAAAAATTTTTTATGTTAGAAAAGATCAGGAAACTTGGAGAGCATGTCTTGTTGTTTTAAAGCTTATTATTTTCTTGATTAAAGGAGAAATATAATATAA